AGAGAGAGAAAGAGAGAGAGAGAAAGAGAGAGAGAGAAAGAGAGAGAGAAAGAGAGAGAGAAAGAGAGAGAGAGAGTGTTAAGTTCACATCAGCCACAAACTGTAACTCGAAATCTCACTGCAAGTATGTCAGCACTGCACAGGAGGCTGAAGAGCCCTGTGTTGGTGAACACATCACACTCCAAACCTGGTGGTTCTGAGTGAAATACATCTGGAAAAACAGCTGCTGACAACAGTTCCTGCTTATTCCAAGCTGGGAGAGAAATACCACACTTTAACTTCAGATTTCTACTTTGTTTCCAGAAAAATCAAAGAAAGTTTCAAACTGCCAGCAGTCTTCAAAACCAAAATTCTTTGAACACTGAAGTACATGGCATGGGCTAAAAGCCAAATCCTATGATTGTTGATATCTTTACTGAAGATATATTTTATTTCTATTTTCTCTATTTCTCTTTTTACAGAACTTGATTAGCGCAAAGTTCAACACATAAAAGGAAACTCTTCTTCTGAATTTCAAATTTTGATTTTTAATTATTATACATCAGTAGCTGAAGAAGCTGCAGCTCAGCTGTTTATTGGCAAAGAACATTCCAACACAGTATTTGAACTTTAGCTTAGAAATTATTTTAGAAAATTCTAAGGAGAAAACAAGGTCCAGACTGCTCATAAAAACCAGTTCTGTGCACACCTGAATCTTCTTGTTTCCCTTCACCCACCCATACTTTACCATTTGTCCTCTTTAACAAACATGGGAACAATTCTTTTTGTTTTGTATCTCATAGGGAATGTTTCCATTTTCACAATGTGTATTGCTGAAGTTAGAAAATTAAAGCAAAACTCACAAACAACCCAAATAAGGTGCAGAAAGAGGCGTTTCCACTTTGTTTCACCTCTAATTCCTTATAAATAAATAAAGTAAAAAAAAAAAATCAAGGTCTATAATTGCAATAATTTCAGTTATTGAGTAGTATTTGGATATTTTCTTATTATGACCTATTGTTGTAACCAGCCAGTGTTAACAAACTGACTTCCAGTCAATGGAATAAAGCAGCTCAGAGTACACAAAATACCTATTTTGAGGAAACATACAAAAATCACAACTATTATATAAAGAACTCTGTTCACAACTATTATATAAAGACCTCTGTTATAATTATATACAAAATAACTATCAAAGCATTTGGTTCATACAATGCTGCTGCAAGTTATGGAATGAACTCCTTGATCCAAGAGAGCCAGTGCTAGAAATGGGTGCCTGGGCAACCATCTCAAACCTGTCTGTTTGGGGACACAGAACAACAGTTTGTCTGTGTTCATTACGAAGTTGGAACCATAAGGTAAAAGGAAAGGAAGTTACACATCCAAAGGCAAACCAGAAAAGACTTCAACAGTGTTAAATTCCCTGCAATGTCCCATTAAACCACATTCAGAACACAAATGGCAGCTGCCTCCATCCCTCCACTCACAGAATTTTGTCTGCCCTCTCCAAAAGCTTCTTGGGACTTAGATGTCCATTTAGACACCTGCCCATCCCAAATTCCCAAAGTCAAGTGCAATGACTTCCTACTCCATCTCAGGTAAGAGTTTAAACTGGTGTCCTGAAGAGAAGGAATGTGCAGTTTGTGAACCCCAGGTCTCTGTTCCATCCTCCTGCCAGCCCACAGTGAAATGTAACCACGTTTTGTACCAGGAATAACCAAATATGTTTGTAACCAGGAATAACTCCACTCTACAGTGCAAAACCTGAAGTAATACTCTGAAATATGGGATAGCTCTTGGAAAGGTGCCCACAAGTATCCCCTGTGTTAATACTTTAGACTCTGTATCTCAGTGTGCCACCCAGAAAATCTTACTCAGAAAAGGGTGCCAAGCATCCACCCCTCACCCAGTGCGAAAAAATTTCTGAGAAATCTCAGAATTTCTGAGGTTCAAACACGGTCAGTTCCTTCCCATCATAGAACTCTCTCAGTTGGTTCAGCTCATATTTTATGGAGGGTTTCTCAATCTGCATCCCAGGCTCCAGAGCGTTCTGTCCCACTATTTTAAGATTCACGAGTTTTATTTTCCAGGTGTTATTCCTGACGGGGCAGCTGATGAGTCCAAAGATTTGCTCAAAGATGCCCAAACAGGTGTTGTCTCTGTGCACTGTGCCAGCCACTGCCACCAGCACCAAGCCATGAGGAGACATGGCATATTTGAGGCCATTGCCGTGCAGGTTGGGGTTGAAGAGGAGACATTCCTCTTTCACCAGGGAGAGCAGCCGCAGGCTCACCATGTCTGCACCAACGTACTGCTCCATGTTCTTTTCCGAAGTGTTGTAGCAGAATTTCATCCTGGCATCCTCCCAGAAATGCTGTGGTCCCCATGTATCTTCAGATTTTACTCCCAAGGGATGTTGAGAGTTCAGGAGTTCAAAGTACCACTGACAGAACTGTCCTCCCAGACCACCGATGTCATCTTGTGGTGACTTTCCTCCCTCTCCATGACTCTGCAATCAAGCAAAATTTTGTTCTTAGAACTATTTAGCCTTAAAATGCAAAATTACCACTCAGAACATAAAATCATGCACATACTTATTTTAAACATTCTAAGTATTCTTCAAGTGTTCTGTGACAGAGAAAGCTCAAAGTAAAATCTCATTTATTTTTAAGACCATGATTATCTTATATAGAGAACCTAGAGAGGTTCTTTGAATTAGAAGAGTGCTTCAGTTTTGTCTTGGTCTCCTTGTAAACAAAAAGGAAAATCCTGGTTCTAGTGAAAAAGGGCAGGGGAAGGATTTTCAACAACATCCATGAGACTAAAATTCTCATACTGAGACAAAGTTTCTGCTGAATAAAGTGTCCGGGTTAGTAACTGTTTGTTGTCCTTTACATTTCCAAAAGAATGTTCCAGACCCAACCTGAAAAGCCAATCTCATATTAAGGCACATGAATTTACTGAAAATTGCTTATAAATAAGCAATTGTGTTGATAGGTTTTTCCTTTTTCACGGGTCCTTCAGCCTCTTCTTTTTGGTACCTTTTAATTTGGTGAATTGTGTTGGTTTCTGCATCTGCTGAGAAGAAGGTGGTAAGAACAAATAGTATCTATTGAGAAGTTACCTTTTGAATATTCAAATCCTAATGGTGACAGAATAATGCCAATTTATGGGGGTATTTTCCCTGTGTCAGTGGGATGTGATAACAAAATGCACAACTAATCCAGGAAGAACTGAAACTCAAAACATTAATGTGTTCCAGAACTTTTTCTCCACCACATGATGTACTTAATTAAAATTTAGCCCTTTTTGGTAGTAAGACTGCCAAAAATCATCCAAAAGATGTTTGGTAACTCTAACAAGCGATGTTTGTAGTCTTCACCAAGTTTGTTAACTCCAAAATCTAGTAAGTAATAAATTACCTGTGTTTTAAGTAATTAAGCACGAAAAGTTTGGAAACTTCTATATAGAAATGCTGTATTTGTCTCACCATCAACTGTAATTAACTTCTAATTGTGTTACATTCAAAACAAATAAAATACTGACAGTTCCTCACACCACCAGGATTTGCTAAATGTCAAAGTTTTGATCTTCAAAATAAGCTGGAATTGCCAAAACACATTTAGTTACACTGTGTTAAGTGTTACTAATATCAAAGGAAAACAAAGCACAGGGACCTGGCACTGCTACAAACTTTACAATTCAATGATATATAAATTTGCTAAAATCCAGTCTGAGCTCTAATTGCAAAAAAGTTATTTGGGAATATTCTCTATTTTAGCTCACAGTACAATTTAAAAATTAAAAGTCCAGAGAAGATCCTACACATTAGAGTTCAAATGCACTAATATACTGTGTGAAACGGAGCAGAACACTGTGCTCTGCAAGGGATACACTGGCACAGACACCTTTAAACGATGTAATTAAATAAAACCCATAAAACCGAAAAACCCAAACAAAACAAACAAAAAAAAAGCCATCCCAAAACAAAAAACAAACCCCCCAAACAAACAAAAATAAAACAAAACCAAAAACCAAAGAAACAAGAAAACCCCAACCAAACCCAAACCAACCAAGAGTTAAAAAGATCTGGTATCTTCCTAAAGGCATCTGAAGGGCCCCATTTTGGAGGTGGATTACAACATTTACAGGAGGCATCTGAGCACCGCAGGTTTTCCAGAGAGCAGGACTCACCTCTGTGTGTGGTTTTGTGTGCCCCGACTCCGAGGCTCGAGCTGAGAGCTGCCCACCCCAGAACTGCCTCACACGGTCAATGAGCAGATGTTTCTCCAGGGAAGGAGGGACCGGAATTCCTTGTGCTGCCAAATACTTAAAGATTATTTCTCGATAGACCTTCCTGCGCCTCAGAAGTTCTTCCACGTTCTGGCTGTAAACCAGAATGGCGTGAATGGCTTCTGCAAGCAAAGAAATGGAAGTTAGCAGGTGCTTCTCTCACAATTAAAATCCAAATTAGACACAGGACTCACCCAAAGACTTGCAAACATGTCTGGAAAACAGTGCTGTTTTTACTGAATACTTTTTTGCCTTGTAATCCCTAATTCCAGTATCCATGACTGCTTGGAATTTAGTATGTATTATTTAACACTGATGAAAAAGATGCAACTTTTTCTTCCAAATGAAATCACTAATATTCTTCAAATATTCTTAAGGAGCTTATAAATCTCAAGTGCTTCAAGAAGAGTAACAATTCTTGCACACAATGCACTTCTATATTTAACTTCAACACAAGGTCATTTAACATGAAATCATTGAGGGGTTCCCGCTTTATGTCACCACACAGCCCTTTAACAAAGGCTGATCTTGGTTTCCTTCTCCATTTGAGAAGCTCTGGGATATTTCAAAAGAAGCTACCCAGCTGTCTTCTTGGAAGCAAGATTACACAGCAAAAGAAAAACCAGGCTTTTATGGTTCCTCTGAACATGGGATGTGAATCTTACATCCTGCATCAATGGGTAGGTCACAGGATTTGGTCAAAGAACACATTATTATTCTGAAGAAAATGCAAGTTTTCAAATGTTCCCTGAGAACAGAAAATGGACAGAAATGCAGACAGAGAGGTAACCAAGGTAATCTCTGATTCCTTGTGCAGTTCCTCGAACAAGAGTTCTAGCACCAAAGGTCTCAGTCAGTGGCAGAATTAGGAAACACAACAAATTTAAACTCACTTTTAAAGCAGTTGCAGCAGAGAGTTCTCACCTGCACTGAGGCTGGTACTTAACAAGGGACTTATAAAAACCCTAAATCTAAACAAGAAGAAACTAATAGCTACAGATAAAAAAAAAGTCTGTTAAGATAGCCTACAACCACCGCAAAAACTAGACAAAAAGGCAAGGAACAAGCCTACAGGCAAAAGACCTTTTAAAGAAATAGGTTTGGCAAATCTTACATGTCTCAGTTATATCACATGAAACAAACTCAAGGTTTTGGGATTACTATGTGTCAGACCAACATATTGAGAGGGTTAGGCTTAAAAAACTTAACCCAATAAAAATAATAATATAATAAAACAACCCTAATAAAATAATAAAATAACTCTTATAAAAAATTAACGGTTATGAAACAAATCTCAGCAAAGCCACGGAGGGTGGTCACAACCGGGAGTGTTCTGTTCTAGGAAGAGCTAAATTCAGTGTTACATTTGTGTTTTACCGTTTCAAAACTTGAAAGCAAATGTCATTAACACCAATAGCGAGAGACTCCTGAGCTTTAAATACGTTCTGAAGGGGCACAGCAGGAGCTGCCTGGAGGAGTGGGAGGGTCTAAGGGAGGAAAAAGAAGTGCTGGAAAGCTGAAAAATCTCCTAGTTTAGGGATTTAGAGATGTAACAAGAACTGACAGAGCCAATTAATTTAAAGAAGCACCGGGGAGGGGAACTGGGGCAGCCAGCGAGGCAACACCCAGGTACTTTTTAACTTGTCCTGAAGGAGTTTATAAAGCGGTCACTTAGAACTTGGGGGTGGATTCAGAAAGAGAAGACACCGAAGATCACCAAGACCCTCAAGAGACCTTTATAAGGACATGCATATATGCTAATAAGTGTTGGGAATGGTCATGAATACGTAACAGGGAGGCGGGGAAGCAGAAATGAATAACCATGTGATGCTGACATATAACCTGCAACGAAAACCCCACGGAGAAACGATTCGCGGGGCACTCACCCTGCCGTGCTGCTGTGGCCTGATAAAAGCATTGATTTCTAAAACTTACAAATGGAGCGTTTAAAAGCTAAAAGTTTCCTTTAAGCGCCGCTTTTAGGGCAACACCAGCAGCCACCGCGAGTTCCTTGGTCCCAGACCCTCAGCAGCCCAACCCCGGCTCCCAGCAGCGACCCCCGAGCAGACACAGCCCCGCCGGCCGGGCAGGGCGCCCGGAACCCCCCGGGCACCCCCACAACGCGGGCCGGGGCAGGGCCCGGGGCAGGGCCCGGCCGGCGGTACCCGCTGTGCCCGGAGCCCCCCGCGCACCTTGCCGGCTCTCCGGGTGCACCATGCGGCTGGTGACGGTGTCGGTGAGCGCCATGAGCTCCTCGGTGCTCAGCAGCTCCAGCAGGGCCCGGCAGCCCGCCCGCTCCCGCTCGCTCAGCCCCGGCCCCGCCATGGCCGCCGCGGCAGCACCGCCCCGGTGCGACCGCGGGCGCCGGGTGGAAATGGCGGCGGGCGCCGAGGTTCCGTGTCGGAGCCTCCGGGCTCCTCATGGCAACCTGAGGAACCTGAGCGGGCTGTGGCCGCCCACCCCCCCAGCCCGTTATATACGTTATATCTTGTGTGTGTGTGAAGGGTTTGTAATGAAACAGCTCTATAATTAACCGCCCTCCCCTCCCGCCGGCTGGGCGGGCCAGGGGATTGTCCCGCTCTGCTCTGACCAGGGGCGGCCTCACCTGCGATATTGGGGCGGTTTGGGGCACAGCGATATATAAGGAAAATATTGAGCCATCAGTGTCCAAAGGAGGGCAGTGAAGATGGGGAAGGGGCAGCCAGGTGAGGGGTGGCTGAAGGCACTTGGTCTGTTCAGCCTGGAGGAGGCTGAGGGGAGACCTCATGACACCCACATGAGGGAACAGAGGGGCAGGTGTTGGTCTCTTCGCTCTCGTGACCAGGGACAGGACCCAAGGAAATTGCTTTGTGAAGCTTTATCAGGGGAGGTTGAGGTTGGATATTGGGAAAAGGTTTTTCACCCAGAGGTTGGCACTGAACAGGCTCCCCAGGGCAGTGGGCACAGCACCAAGGCTGAGAGAGCTCAGGGAGCGTTCAACAACACTCTCAGGCACAGGGTGTGACCCTTGGGGTGGTCCAGGAGTTGGACTTGATGATCCTTGTGGGTCCTTTTCAACGCAGGATATTCTGTGATGCTATTCTATGATTTCTAATTTTACTTCCTTCACCCCTCCGGCCAGTGGGACATTGCCAGGAAGCATCTTTCTGACCCTGGGCGCTGGCTCGGGGCACAGGGACATGGCCCCTCCTCGCAAGCAAAGGTGAACGGAAAGCGAACCTCCCACAAGTGTTCACTTTAAGGACAGTTTCCCATTGTCGATGCAGAGCCCACACACCCAGTCTTGTCAGGGTGTGCCTGGAGTTGGAGGACTCCCACAAACAAGGCTTCCAGCAGGATCCAGCTGTGCGCCAGATCCTCAGGAATGGCTCAGTGCCTGCTGTGGTCCAGGCAGATGCTCGTGGTGTAAACAGCCTTTGGAAGTCAACTGAGAAGCTTCAAGCTTCTATGGTGGTCGCTGGACCAACTCCTCTTTGAATATCTGAGATGCATCCCCTGTGGCATCGAGCAAATCATCCACTTGTGACTGAGGGAGCTGTGGGCCCCCTTAAGAACTCATGCCAAGCAAGGGATACACGTCCCCAGGAGTGGGAAATCTGACAGCACAGCACATGCCTAATGAAGTTCTATAAGTCAAAGTTGCTTTTTTTTACCACATGCAAGGCCTCAGCCTCGTGCTGCTCGTCCACTTGGCAGTATTTTCTCTGCCAGGGGCAGAAACACCAGTGATGGTCACTTTATGAGTGAGAGAGAGAAAAGGAAAATGAGGAAAGATGAACAAAAAAAGGGGAAAGAAGGCAGCAGGAGCTTCAGTTGAGCTATGTGCCAAGAAAAATAAAGGGGCAATGAGCACTTGACGTTGGTGTGGCAGAAAAAGGAGCCCTCTCATCAACCCCATGTTTTAATATGGGTGTGTAAGGAGGCCACGTTTTGGTGCTAAAGCTGCCTGTGATTTCAAAACCAGGAAGACTTACATTCTGTAAAGACAGACAAACTGTCACCTGCAGATTCAAGTTAAAATTACTGATGATGCTATTGCACAAACCACCGAACTCGTCACTGTGGTGGGCTCTGTTCAGACCTGTAGTAACAAATACCTGCCCTCAAGATCTTGTAAACCTAAGACAGAACACTTACGTGAACAGAGAACACATTCCTACCCATCCTACCCATATGCTTTACATGCTTGTGTCCTCTTTGAGATCTAAAAACAGTCCCTGCAGATCTCCAGTTTCATCAGAAGGAAAACCAACACACATCCAGCTTGAGTAATAGCTGCTCTCTTGAGCTGGAGCAATGAATTCCAAATAAACCAGAAACACGTGACCCAATTTTGCCCACGAATTGCAAGTCCAACATTCAGATAAAAACTGAGTCCTAAAGCATCTGGAAAGATTGAACATAATAATCCTTATTGTCTGCTGGGCCTAATTGCATTCCATACATCCAGTTACTTGCACACTCTTCATGTACAAGACAGACCTCCCACCACAACATGTGGAGTTTACAGAGCAAAATCCTCAAAAATGGGACTACCTACATGTCACCATGTCAATTTAGCTGTTGAAATTCTGAATTTATTAATCTAAATCCTGCAAACTAAAAATTACAAAACGCATCTGAGAAATATAAATTCGTTTTGCTTGTATTTCAACAAACCTTTTTAGATTTGCAGCCTTCAAGGGAATAATATCTTGTTTTAAATCAAGGCCAGCCCTTTCAGCAGGATTATACATGCACCTTGCAAGTGCTTCCCCTTTGGAGGTGGTGGTGGGAGAAAGGGAATTATTTCAGAAGTAGGTTTTTTTTTTTCCTTTCTCACAACTCAGAATTCCCTACAGTTTTTACACAAACTTTTAATTGACTTGAGCATTGAGCAGGAATTGAAACTAGCATTCCTAAAGGGGAAGAAACAGGAAAATTATTAGCCTATATGAACCTAAAGGTGAATAGAACTGCTGTCTTAATTCAAGGAGTCATTACAAGGGATCCTCTTGACCCACCAGATTTTTGTTATATTTTCTCTCCCCTGTTCAGTTGAGCAGGGGCATGACAGAGGAGCTTTGGTGTCCAGTCATGGTTAAACCACAATTCCTTTAAACACTAAGCAAAATAAATAAGAATTTACAATACAAGCAAACACATAATACATTTTAGTGCCATCTGTAGAAGTAGCTGTTTTGTAGGTGGGCAGAGTCATAAACTATATCAATGTAAAGGATATTTACATACTTAAAATGACACTGGCCACTGCATCAACTGACTCTACCACTGCAATCCTACACTAAATTTTTCAGCAAGTTAGCTTACAATAATGTTGGTTATGCTGAGAGCCAAAGGTGACAGGTATGGCCTGAAATACATAAATAATAAATACTGTCAAAACAGACAACAGCAGGTAGTAACCATATGATGGACAGTTTCACTGTACCTCCCACTCAACTACATTTCATAACCTTTATACCTATTTATATAAATATACTTACAAATTGATACTTATGTATTTTATACCTGTCATAATTGATGGTTATTTTTTCCTATGTAATTCTAAAAATAGTTCCCAATGATCTTTTCAACTTCCCAACATATTCAAGAACCTCAAAGTTGGCCTTTGTCTTAAACTTACTTAGACTATTTCAAGTCCTCTTGAGCACCCCTTTGGTCTTTTGAGGTCTACCTAGTTCTTAGGTGCTTCCTTGACCCAGGCACCTCCACCTCCCCTTGGGCTCAAAGCTCAATATTTAGTCCTCACAATCCAGCTGTGTAACACGAAACTCAAAGAACATTAAGAATTTACAGGACTGTGAGTAATAATTCTAAATAAACCAGCATTTTCAGATTAAAGTATTGAACTTCCAGAAGCAAAATCAAAAAAAAGCAACTACACTGTCTTTATCTCTGGACTACACCATTCAGTCAAAGGGACCAAAAACAAGTGTATCACACCAGAGGCTACCATCTCTCTTGGCAGCATTATCAGAGACAAACATAAGTTTATGAAGTGCAAAAACCAAGGCTCAGCTCCATATATCAGTGCCTTCCCAAGAGGTTTAGGGCAGCATTTTGTACTTGTAATATAAGGTCGCTGAAGAACTTGAACAATTTTATGATGAAGACAATTAACCAGAAGCAGAGGGATCTTAAAACAGCTGCATCCAGACTTGTCTGCGGCCCCAAGTTTGGGGTTTGAGCCCTAGGAAATCACTTTAGCAGTTAAATACCCCCTCCACACCCCTGTTTTGAAGCTTAGTTTATTCATATATGCAAATATCCACACCCCTGGAAGTGGCATCTTCACACAGGTGTCACCTCTCCCATACCACACACAACCCAGCAGCTCTGAACGTTGCAGCAGCATTTTCAGGGGGATTCTCCAAAAGACAAGCTCAATTTCTATCAACAACAAAGACAATGTTTTATTGAACAAATCTATGTACAGTACAAAAAGGTTTTTAAAATGAAACACTACTGTAGATTTATTGCAGTTTGATGGCTCAGTTTTAATTTGTACTCTTATATAAAATGCAAAGTAAAATAATTTAACATTCAACAAGGAAGCACAAATTTCCTTTCTTGCTGAACCTGTAACAGCTTTTACAAATTAAGAGTCCCAAAATGCATACACTGCATTTAATCAGAAAGGTGTTATACAGTACCAAATAAATTAAGAAAATAGTAACACTACCACCCTCTTTGGGTCTTTTGTCCATAGCACTGGTGTTAAACAATAAAAGAAATGAGTACAGCTGAACCTTCCATGTGATATTAAAATCACAAAGTTTAATGTTATAAATTATTCAAACTATACAATTTATATAATTTTAATGAATATGGCTAAATAACCAAAGTACCAGTGACCTTTCCCCACAGATATCACCACTTTCAACCTACTTTCAGTATTCCTTTTTTTTCTGAAAGGTGCCCACCAAATGGCAACTCTTTGAAATTAGAACTTCCATGACCTCTACAGTGAAACACGATCGGGTTAGAGAAGAGTCTTAAAAGGAAAGTCCAAATTCAAGTTACAGCCAACTGGAGGAATGTTATTGGAACACAATTACCCACAACAAATGCACAAACTTTGATCCAACAAAGCTCCCAAGCTCATGTGTAACTTCAGGCAGCTTTAAGGGAGTTGCAGGCTTACATTACACATGGATTTCAGTATTTATTGAATCAAAGTGATACATCCTGAAGGATTTCCAATTATATCACACAATGCTTCTTAATGCCAGGGAAAAAAAAACAACTTTCAGATCTAGATTTGTAACCTTTTTCAGCCCTAGAAGTTGCAGGCTTAGTACAGGGTAATACTCAACATACTAAAGAATCCTTACAAAGC